TTGCTAATCTCATTCGTCATTATTTTTGTTTGAACTAACTTTTTCAACATTTGGGGATGATCGCCACCCTTTGCTTAAAAGGAATCTTCTCAAGAAAAGTGTCAGGGCACAGCGTGGATCCTGGTTACGAGTCAAAACACTGTCTTTACAGGGGAGGGGCAGGGAATAAATTTATGGCTAAAACATAGCGAACTTTTCTAACGAGTCACAATCGATCGTCTGGCAGACGTTATGAAAGGAGAGTATTGGAGAGTATTGGACAGAGTATCTCTGTCCAAAAACGTGAAGGAGAACTCTAAGTGATCGATAGAGAGGAAAGAAATCTTCAGCTGCTCGTTCGTTTTCTTCAAACGCTCACTTTGGTATGGCGGCCGTTTCTTTGTCGATTGCTTGACACTCAATTTATATGGTGAGGGTCTCATTGTCGTAGAAATGCAATAATCTGCCTTCTTTAAGAAATGGCGCACGTTTTAGCTTATTTTCAACATTTCCCAATTGGAAACTAACTAACCTTGTCTAAAGTGCACTAGATTCTCCTTATTTTCAAACCCTGTTTATCAAATCTCTTTGAGTCCACTATGCATGAACCTATAAGGATTTACCAGCTTTTGGTTTACCAGTCTGTATATTGTGACAGAACTCTAAAGAATTAAGATTTAGTGTGTATATCATACATGAACTACTTGAACCTCTAAAGGAATCAAGACCAGGGTAATAGTTTCTACTTTACTTTTCTTAAGTGACTTTTCTCCTTTTTAATATGTAAAAAAAGCATTTTATTTTTTTCATTTTAAACTTGACACATTAGCTACCTTAAAGCTAGGAGCCTGTTAAGTACCAGGTTCTTGAGTTTAAATATAGAATTATGTATGCACCGGCTGGCTTCATATGGGGTTTCAAACAAGTGTAGCGCATGCTGTGCGTCGAAACAATTTGTATCAAAAGAATCAATCATAACATTTAAATATTTTTTTAAAATAATCATTGTCATTAGTATTATAACAGCAAATAAGAAGTTTATTTATACTTTTCTATTTAACAGTTTTTCAGCGTTGTTGTAAGGGTATCAAGCAGCCCTAAACAGTCAGAGAAAGATTTTGGTAATAGAAGTGCATCATCTTTAAATGTGTTTGGAATCTTGACATCATCCTATAGTGAAGTGACACCAAGTTAGAGTCTTACTGCAGTCTGTGAGCCTGAGGGAGGAACTCCAGTCCATGTCCCCAATCAAGAAGGTAATTACTGCTGTTTCATGAGTATGCTCTATTGCAATAAGCTCAGCCATGAATGCTGTTAGCCTTTTGTAACCCAGGTGGACTATTATCCCAATCTGTACTTACTTAGGATAGTTCACTTTTTGTCTTAATGCAGTCTTTTAGCCTGGAGGAGGGACTCCAATTCCAGCTCAGAAATATGAAGCCTCCCCAGCAATTGATGCCCCCAGTCAAGAAGGTAACTACTGCTGTTTAATGAGTATGTTCTATTGCAAGTAGTTCAGCCAAGGGCTGTGGTTAGCCTTTTGTATATTCCAGTTGGAACATTCTCTCAATCTGTTATTACTTAGGATAGTTAACTTTTATAAAATTTGCCAGCGTTTTAACTCTTTAACTTAAATATCTGAATGTTAATTTTCCCCACTAGCTGCTACACATTTCCTTGTAAATTAGTTATGAGTATTTGAGTAGATCAAGGTAAAAAGTTCTACCAGATAAGTTTGAGAATTCTCACTACCTGTTTGCTGGATAATGTGTGAATATTACAGGAAGAAGTAACATGTTAAATAGGGTTAAGCTGAAGAAAGAGTCATCTGCAATTATTATGCATTTGTAGACTCAGTATAAACAAGTTGCCATGAGTGAAGTATAGTTGATGTTTTATCATGGGGAATAATCAAGGAATTTTCTGTGAATGTTTACATATCTACTAAACATAAAAATAAACATTCAAATTGTCAACCATTTGACCTCTTCATAGTGCTTGTTCAGGAGAGCTCTGACCCCCCTGATGATCAACCTCCCCCGTCCCCATCATCACCTGAGACAAGTGGAAAGAAGATTGGAAGTATAAAGTTCAATGGAACTTGCATTTGGTATAAAGGAACCTTTGATTTATTTAATTTTGTATATTCATTCATTAAATTTTATTGATTTTATTGATTTATCGTAGTGGTGAAAAATTTAAGGTAATAACATTCCATCATGCTCAGGGTTTTACTGACAGTAAGCTCTCGTATCTGATGAGTATTTTCCTATGAATGATAGATAAGATACCCAATGGTAAAGGTTTTTTTTTATGTTAACCATTTTGTATTGCATGAGATTTGAACTGCAAGGTGTGTGAAAAGTTGTGTGATTGTCTGGGTTAAGATAATTAATGTATAATTAATTTAAGGATTTGAGTGATTGAAACTACAAGGGCTTGAGTGTTTGGTTCATGTAGTTTAAGAAAATAAGTCTTAAAAGTGGTATGATAATCTTTTCTGAAAGGAGTTTTCAATATTTCTTTATTCAGATCACTGTGATGAATCAGGCAATGATGTTTTCCTTTTGAATGCTGGGAAGGTACCTTTGGTATCAAAACTGTTCCGAAGGTCAAAATCAAAGATGCTTACTGACAATCTCTGCTCCCAAGTGAGAGTATTTCTTTAATTCAATCTATGTTAATGACTAAACTATGTTAATGACTATGTTATCCAAAAGAAAACTTTCTAAGGTGGTAATTAGATGCACACCCTGCTCAGGATATTTGGGATCCAGTTGAAAGTGCAGTGTAGATACTCACATGATGGTTATATACAATTCAGTTATTCCCTATCATGCAAAATGCATTGAAATTGAGGTATTTTTTTGTTTCCTGTAATCCAAGATTTTACATCTTGTATTACCAATCATTAATGTTAATGTGGGTTCATCATCTTTGTTTGATCTCTGAATTCAGAATGTAGAAGAGTACATCAAGAAAAATCTTGTCACTGACAAATTCATAGTCGTTATCCATGGAGAGGATGATGGTGCAAACCTTTGTTCGATTCAATTGGCAAAGAAATTTTATAAACTATTAAAAGAATATGTAAGAGAAGTTTATACTGATGGAAACATATACCTACTTCAAATATTAGCAACCAAATCAACAAAGTCAGAAGTCAGATGATAAATTTGGTGAATTATATTGGTATTGGTAAAAAGCACCTTGTGATGCTGATAACTTTGCACATCAGTGGATGTACAATTATTTTCAGTGCTGATACAGTACAGAATATGGTTTTATCTGACAGATTTTAGTAAATAAATGATATAAAATTAAACTGTAATGTCTCATTCATTGCTTTTTTTCTGCAGGTTCTTTGAAGGATTGAACTTTTGCATCATTTTAAAGGCCAAATTCACCCTGAAAGCTGTTTTCAAGCTTGCCAAACCATTTATCCTGTGAGTGTAAGTTAGAAACAAATAGTTTATTTTATAACTGAAAAACATGATACTGCTTGATTTGTGATATTCTTGTAAAATTAAAACCAATTGGATGTAATAAAAGTGATTTTACTGCACCTGGTTTGAGTTCTTAAAACTAAAGCCTTTTACATTAAAAAATGCAATCAGAAAAAAAGCAGAGACTGTTAGAAAGAGATTATCTGGTTTCATTAATGGGGTTGATAATGTAAATAGGTCTCTGTAAAGAATTTCTAGAGCTGATGTTTCAAGTGTTGTAGTCCTTTGTAAGAGCAAAAGAAGGAGTCTATTAGAACTGAAAGATAAAGCATGACTGTGAACTGCCTATAGAAGGGTTAAATGAGATTGAACATGTTGTAATAAATTTATGTTATACATGTGAATGGCTGACAGGCTCAAATTTCCATAGAGTGTATGCTAAGATTTTATGAATGTGAAAAATATTTTTGGTATTAGACAATGGAAGTTTGTGTTTTCAAGTAACAGCAAGATTAAAAAGAAATTTTCATTGAAAAACATCTGTCAAAAATGGGAAGTTATTCTGTTTTACTATTAATAATAATGCCTGTCATTTGCTGACAGTGTTCATCTTTTTTTAGGAACAATGTGTGAAGCGAAAGATTTCTATGGTAAATGATGTTGGTGAACTTGTTGTGTTCCACTGTAAGTACTTCATTAAAAGCTGTATGCTAGAAAAGAATATAAATGCATTTGTTTAGCATTTTCAAATATTGGAATGGCATAGCAATGAAGGTAATAACTTTGATGTTGTGATGTACTGGATTGCATTACATTCCATGACATTTAATTAGTGGGTAGAAATTATGACAAGTGTAATTGAAAGTTAAAGTGAAGAAGAAGTAAAAACAATTTTAGATTCAAAACTCCTTGAAAAGCTTATTGTTATATTATTAGCATTTAATGTGTTAAATTATGAGTGTTTTTCAGTTGATTTCCTTTCTGTTTTGTTTTAGGTATTCCGGACACAATTCTGTATTATACATATAATGCAGAATTGTGTCCAGAATACCTAAAGCATGTTAGTTTCTACAGATACCATGTTGGGGTTACAGTACATAATGAATTGTCTACTTGGAAAAATTTGGTGCAATTTGTTCTACTGTATCACTATCAATTCGTGTAACAGCTGATGTTGTCTTCCCCAGCCATCTTGTTTCCTCTTTGGTTTTTTCTTATTATCTCTTGTATTTGCCTTTCAAAGAATATATTTTGCTGATTGTATTTAATGATAAAACTCTGTGACAGTCAAAGTCCATCAAATAATTTGACTTCAGGTATGTCTCTTGAACCCTTTCACTCTCAAGATCTCCTTAGCAATTCTCCTTACTGTCTTCCATACAATTCTTATAATGTTAGTTTGGAGAATATGGTATTGGATCAACTACAGAAGTAATTGCCAATTGATATTTCTCTTTATTCTCATCACTTGTCTGCCAGATATTGTATTGATATTGTAAGGAGAAATTCTGTCTTGGTCACTCATGGGAGTTAAAAGGGTTAAAAGGATGATTTTCTCTCTGTTTCCTTTCAGCTTCAAAAAGCAAATCTAAGAGAAAGTTGTATACAACTCTGAAACCCTTCAGCATGATGAAGACAAAATCAGAATCCAATCTTGCCCAGCGATTTGACTTTGTGGCTGTGGATATTCCTCTGGATGGTGAGCCAGAGCAGGAGAAGGATAAGGAAAATGAAACACAGACAACAGAGGATAAGAAAGATGAGCCAGTTAAGCAGGATGAAGCACCTCCTCATTCCGGTCAAAGAGGAAGGCGGCCAAGTGTTTTTGAAGAGGGTCTAAAAGAATTTTATGATTCAACCACCACTGGAGAGAAGGTTGAAGCTAAGGAATCAAAGGCTCCAGAGATCACTCTGGAGGATCTTGATGCTGTTTCAGGACAGACAACAGAGTAAGTACAAATTAATCTTTTAAAACTCAAGATCTGATTGTTAATTCTCTCCTCCAGCTGCTACACATTTCCCTTTAAATTAGTTACAAGAATTTGGTTATAGATCAAGATACCAACTTCCACCTGATAGGTTTGAGTATTCTCATTACCTGTTTGCTAGACAACATCTTACAAGGAGAAGTTACATGTTAATCACTTTTGTTAGCTAAAGTGTTGTAAAGAAATGTTGTATAAAGTTTCTGAAGTCGAGGTTTGCTGCCGAAAAGAAGACGATCCTGAGTGTCAGCTATTGGGGTTTGAAGAAATTGGCATTGGCTGGCTATTACAGTTTTTTATGAAACCCTGAAAAATACAAAAATAGTATTATCTGTAATGTTGTGTCCTAGGAAACTGACATCTTTAGCAGGGGACAGAATGAAGATTAGACCTAAGCGTCACCACAGATCAACAGCAAATCCAGTGAAAAACCTACAGCAGAGAAATGATGTGCGAACAGAGACTGAGGTAAAGTACTGGCACATGTATCTGGCCTTGCTCACTTTTGAATTCTCTGTGGTTCAGTGGTAGAACAACAGAGCACAAAATTGGTTGGTTGGTTGGTTGGTCAATTGTCCACTGTATTATTTATCATTTACAAAAGTTTCAAAGAGTGATCTTTTTAAGACTACTGTCAATGAATGTTGCTGAAGGCTTTTTATTATCTGTGTTTACCAATCAACTTGAAGCTTCAACATCCCCTCCCCCCTCTGGGAAATCCATGGGCATTTTCTGTTGTCCATGCCTGGGGGAAGGGAGGTGGCAAATTTGAACCTTGCCTGGCTGGGGTGAGGAATTTGAACCAAGAGTGTCAAGTTTTTTCAGCAGAATACTAGTGTTGTATCTTGAACTATCTTATGGTAAATAGTTTACTTTTGGGAGCAAATGCTCAGTAGAAACGGTCTACAAGGTGTAGGTTGTAAAGTTTGGTCAATATGTAGAAAGTCACAGTGGCTAAAATTGGGGAGGGCATTTGAAGACAGCTTTTTCCCTGGCAAAGGTGGAGGGGGGGGGGCAGAATTTGAACAAACCAGTCCAAAGTTCAAATGCCTAGTGGTCTGGTGGAGAGGGGGGGGAATTGAAGCTTCGAATTGATCAACACATGAGAGAAGGTCATTTGATGATGATGATGATAATAATAATAATAATGATAATAATAATAGTTATAATAATCACAATTATTATAGCACTTGGATAGAATCAGTTCTTTTGACTCGCAGGTTGAGCGACTGAGAATAGAAAAGAAATAGGTCACAAGTGAGCATCCTGTCATCAAGAGAAAGAAGAAGAAATACAAAGATCCTGACAACTTGTGTATGTCGTTTTTTCCTTCTAGCTGTCGAAGCACATTGCAAATTCCCACTTCTGTGTAGCATTTTAGGAAACTTGTCTGCCTTTTATCCTTGTGGATATTCATAGCATAGTAATGTAGAGAATCGATTTGTAAATTTTGTGGAAGTGGAATGGCCTTAGGAGTTTGGGGAAAACTGTATCATCGCACAGATGGCATGACCCGTTGTTAAATATGGCAGATTAATTTTGGAAGGCTTTGTTGGATATGAAGGCCATCTTTGGTGTCAAGTATTATGGTAGTGCTCACTTGTCATTCCATTTCATCTCATCCCATTTCATCTCAACCCATTTCATCTCAACCCATCTCAACCCCTCTTTAAATAAAGGCTTAGAACCCATTTCATCTCATCCCATTTCATGTCATCCCATTTCATGTCATCCCATTTCATCTCATTTCATCTCATCTCATTTCATCTCATCCCATTTCATCTCATCTCATTTCATCTCATCTCATTTCATCTCATCCCATTTCATCTCAACCCATTTCATGTCATCCCATTTCATCTCATCTCATTTCATGTCATCCCATTTCATCTCAACCCATTTCATCTCATCTCATTTCATCTCATCTCATTTCATCTCATCCCATTTCATCTCATGTCATTTCATCTCATCCCATTTCATCTCATCCCATTTCATCTCATCTCATTTCATCTCATCCCATTTCATCTCATTTCATCTCATCTCATTTCATCTCATCCCATTTCATCTCATCTCATTTCATCTCATCCCATTTCATCTCATCTCATTTCATCTCATCTCATTTCATGTCATCCCATTTCATCTCATCTCATTTCATCTCATCCCATTTCATCTCATCTCATTTCATCTCATCTCATTTCATCTCATCCCATTTCATCTCAACCCATTTCATGTCATCCCATTTCATGTCATCCCATTTCATGTCATCCCATTTCATCTCATCTCATTTCATCTCATCTCATTTCATCTCATCCCATTTCATCTCAACCCATTTCATCTCATCCCATTTCATCTCATCCCATTTCATCTCATCCCGTTTCATCTCAACCCATTTCATCTCATTCCATTTCATCTCATCCCATTTCATCTCAACCCATTTCATCTCATCCCATTTCATCTCATCCCGTTTCATCTCAACCCATTTCATCTCATTCCATTTCATCTCATCCCATTTCATCTCAACCCATTTCATCTCATCCCATTTCATCTCATCCCATTTCATCTCATCCCATTTCATCTCATCCCATTTCATCTCATCCCATTTCATCTCATCCCATTTCATCTCATCCCATTTCATCTCATCCCATTTCATCTCATCCCATTTCATCTCATCCCATTTCATCTCATCCCATTTCATCTCATCCCATTTCATCTCAACCCATTTCATCTCATACCATTTCATCTCATCCCGTTTCATCTTATCTCATTTCTTCTCGTCTATTTACATCTTATCTCATCTTTTCTCGTGTTATCTTTCTCTTCTCATCCTATCTCGTCCCATTTCATCCCATTTTGTCTCGTCTCATTTGTTCTCATAGGTATCCGGTTAGATCGCGCCATGGTTAGATCGCTCCCAGTTAGATCGCTCCAACCATAAGTTAGATCGCGCCACTCGAAAGTTAGATCGCTCCATCAAATAAGTTACTTTGCTAACAACATAAGGTACTTTGCTCCATGTTGTAATGTGAAGTATTACTTTCCAATGATCTTTAAAGTTTTATAGGTGATGATGTGTCTTGTGACGATTCGAGTACATCGTCCACACTTTGTCCTTCAGATTAGCCATCAAGCTACCGATGTATGATGTATATCGATGATGGAATAAAAGATCGTGGAATAGATTATAACTTTATAGACTGAAGTGTATTGAAAAAGATCATTCAAATACCAATACTGTCCAGTGTGGTCTTTTTTGCTTTTTGATGTAAGGAAACTGATATCTGCCATCTTTAATTAATAAATTAGATTACACTTCGTGAGTCCCTTATATGAGGCTTCATTTGTTTTTTCTGCGTGGCTCGAATTTTTTTCAAGCGCGCGCCAGCGATTTTAATCGATTGTTACGTAAGATATACACGTCATTTAATGAATTATCAATTTAGAGACCTTAGTTTTGCTGCCTTTACCTTAGTTTTCGACATGGAGCGAAGTAAATTATGTAGGAGCGAAGCCACTTACTTGATGGAGCGATCTAACTTGCGAGTGGAGCGATCTAACCATGGTGCGATCTAACTGTAATTCATCACATCATATCACTTCACATAACTCTACTTTCACATAACATTAAAAAACCTTGCACCAACAGTACATGTGTATGATGTTCTCTTGTCTACCTACAGGGAGGCGTCACACTCTCGACTTGGCAGCATCAGCATTAGCTGGTCTGGCCAGCACTGAAGATTTCACTAAAGTCAGATTGCGTAAAACTGCTGGGCCTGAAGAGAAGGAAAAGGATGAGTACAGAGGAATAAAACCCATTATGCTGATCCACATAAAAGGTAAATAAAAATCTTTTGATTTGGAAAGTCGCAAGAGTTTTTAACCCTTTAATCCCTAAGAGGGACAAGGTTCTAATTTCGCCTTGCTGGGTGCGTCCGCTGCGCTTACTTTTTCTGGCAAGGAAATGACTGTTCTGTGAAGAGAAGGAAAAGGATGAGTACAGAGGAATAAAACCCATTATGCTGATCCACATAAAAGGTAAATAAAAATCTTTTGATTTGGAAAGTCGCAAGAGTTTTTAACCCTTTAATCCCTAAGATTGACAAGGTTCTAATTTCCCTTACAATATCACCCCAGAATAAAAGGTTTAAGTCATGAGAATAAAGGAATGATCAGTAAGCAACGAAGCTCTTGATGGTTTTACAAATTCTCCCTGTTAGAACCTAGGAAATGTATAGAGAACAGTATGGAGAATATGCATGATGATGCCAGGGTGTAAAGGGTTAATTGTGAGGGAATATATGACAGGAGTTACATACATTGTGGGAGACAGAGTGGCCTGATGGTCAGTGCACTGGACTCCGGGTCGAGAGGTCTGGGTTCAAGACTTGGCCAGGTTACTATGTTGTGTTCTTTGGCAAGACACTTTTACTCTTCCCATGTCTCCCTCCACCCAGGAAGGAGTTTAAATGGGTACTGAAGAATTGTTAGGGAAGCCTGATGAAATACTAGGGGGTAACGTTGTGATAGACTGGTATCCCATCCAGGGGGGAGTAGTTACACTCCTTGTCGCTTGATGCTTCATGGAAACTGGGAAAGGCTCCAGCTACGTGGGCCAGAAGACTGGAGTACAGACTTTATCTTTACCTTTACATACATATATTCATGTTAAGACCTTTGTGTTTTGTTTACAGGACGGCGTCATCTTCAAGTACGTCTCGTTGAACCAAGTCTAAAATCCTTAAATTCTGGAGACTGTTTTGCTCTTGTGACAGAAAAGGATCTGTTTTCCTGGATTGGAAAGGAATCCAATCCTTATGAAAAAGCCAAGGTTTGTAAATGCATGTACTTCTGTATGAATTGCTATGTGCCGTTTTTTCTATTTCTACCTTCACCCCTATATCTATCATTGCTGATACAACAATCGTTACTGATGATACTGCCACCGATATTGCTGTTTCTGCTGCTTAGTTCTGCTAATGCTGTTTCTTTTGCAGCTAATACTGCTACTGATGGTAATTCTTCCTGTTTTTTTGTTCTTTTGCTTCTTCTGCTTCTTCTTGCTTTGGTTTTCTGATATTGCTTGTCTTGTTTCTTCTACCGCTTCTGCTACCACTACCACTTCTGTGTCTGCTTCTGCTTCTTCTGCTACTCCTGTTCAGTTTCTGCCACCACCCCTGATACTGTATTTGTAGATCTCATTTTGGATTGTAGGTCTTAAACAATAATTTTGACTTTTTCGTAGGTGACAGAAATTGTCTCCAAGATTAAAACAAAGAATGAATTGAACTGTAAGGCGCGAGACATTGTCACCATTGAAGAAGGAGACATGGACTTCAACGCTGCCTTGGATAAGTTTGCAAACATTCTGAGTGGAGATCCTGGAAGTAATCCTGTTAAAGGTTGGCTAACATTTCTATCACCTTTAACCCTTTACACTCGATCATCAGTATGTATTTTCTCTATACTGTTCTCTATGCATTTTCAAAGGTGCTAACAAGGAGAATTTGTTTAACAATCTAGACCTTCTTTAGTTGGTGATCATTTTCTTAATTCTTGTGACCTTACTGTGTGATTTAGGGCTGATATTGTAAGGAGAAATTAGACGCTAGGGATGACTGGGTTAAAACTTGCTTACTACAAGTACCTTCTGACTGAAGCAAGAGATCCTACAAAGTGCCATTTGTATGTTTAACCTTTTGACTCCTAAGAGTGACTATCACAGGATCACCACTGGATCACACGTCGACATCACGAGAATAAAGGAAATGATCACCAACTTAAGAGGCTCTTGATTGTTAAACAAATTCTCCCTGTCAGCATCATAGGAAATGTATAGAGAACTTTTAAAGGAATATGCATACTGATGTTTGAGTGAAGCAGATTAATTGCCATGATACCAAATGTTTCGCGAATGATCATCAGAACTTGAATTAAGAGTGGTGTCCAAAGCAATCAATGCCTTCTATGGAAAAACGGTCCCCTCTGGTTGACACGAAGTCATTTTCCCAGCTCTGTAATTTTCCTTTGCCAAGGGTGTTTTTTAATAATGCGGGCAGAACCGAGTGGAGTTATTGCAATGAGAAGTTTCAACCTGTCGACCCCTCGGAGTGACTTGCTTCTTATTTCTCCTCTACAGTTTCACCCTTGCGTCAAATGTAAAGGAAAATATCATAAATTTAGGGAGATTCTCATCGTCAAACAAATTTTCATGGTCACTGTTATAGGGAATGGAAAGTGAATCGTGTCGAGAAAATCAATACCAATGATAGGGGTATAGGGTTTATCTCAAGTGAAATCTGTAATTTACAAAATGAATTTTCTATATGCTGAATCGAGTGCAGCGGTTCACAGTCAGCACTATCGTATTTTGTTTAGTCTACACTAAAATTCAGTCCTCACTTATCCTCATATAGATGCTCAGAAAATGGCGAAAGACGAAGAATACGAGAAGGGTGTAGTTAAGGGCAACATGGTTTATAAAATTCATTGGACTGATCCTCCAACTCTGATGCCAGTAGAGACTATGTGTGGACGAATTCCTCAAGTCTCCATTTTTGACACTAAGGAGGTAATTACATTTTATTAGTAAAGCTTTTCGCTTTTTGCTGGTGACCAATTATTTGATCATCTGTGAATCGTGTTCACGTTGGAAATCTTGTTTCTGTGTTTTAAAACACTGAGTCGAGGGTGACAATCTCTAACGCAGTGGTCAAGCATCCGCGCATGAGCGAACGTCGGAATGACCAGGTGCCAGTAGTTGGCGTGCATTGAGGCTGTCACAACCTAGATGTGACAAATAATAGCACAAGTCAGTTAGTCACGGTGTTTTGAAAGCGTATAACTTTTTCGGTAAAGCGCAAAGCAGAATAGTAAATCAACAGGATATCTGTACTTGAAAGAGCTTTGCGTTTGGAAAGTCATCAGTTTTCCTTTTTCCCTGCTTTGTTTTCTTTGACAGATTTCAATGAAAATTTCAATTTTATTTCGTTTATTTTGCAAGAATGCGGTTGTTTCTTATGTTTTACAGTGAAATTTTACACACTTAATTGGCGCACGGCCGGCCAGTATTGATTCCTTTGCGCAAGCCCGACGTTTGGTCGGTTTTTCTGTAGATTTAGCGTTTTGTTTTGAGTTTTATCAAAACAGTCATACGGTTTTTTAACACTGCGCATTACTCGATTGCGTGGTTGTTTATAACTCTTACAAGGCAATTTGGCGCGCCACCCACACGAAGCCTATACAACATCCACAGACGTTCGACCGCTGTGTTGCCTAAATTGCATTCGGCTACACTTTTTCTCTCACAGTCCTAGTCAACACATTTTGTTTTTATTCAGGTTTTCATATTTGACTTTGGTTCAGAACTGTACGTGTGGAATGGACAACAGTCGTTATCAGGTCAAAGAAAGTCGGCCTTCGCTCTGGCAAAACAACTATATGAAGAGCCCTTTAAACCGTATGGAAAAAATTATGATCCAATCTTCCCGTATGGCAAACCTGAAAATTGCACCGAAGTAGACAATAAAGTTTCAAGTGGCAGACCACCGTGGACATTATTTGCAAGACTTCACGAAAAGGCTGAAACAATCTTGTTTCGTGAGAAGGTGTGCGATTTGTTTTTTTCCCTCTCTCTCTCGCTGCAAGTGATATTTTTGTCTTTAGGTGTATCGTTGTGTTTCTCAAGTCTATTAGTTGCCAAGTTAATTTCCAGTCATAATGAAATATGAGATATTAACTTTTCTATCTATCATTGATTCCTTTCAATGATTTATGGTATTAATTTTTATTTATTTATTTCGTATCCCTCAGAGGCTGGAAAGCGCGTCTCTCACCGTGTGTACGTGGTGTATGCCGGCATGGAACCGATGACGTTTAAAGTTCTTTTTCCTTACTGGAATGATACACCAGATGTCATCAAAATACAGAAACTGGTATGTACTATGTCGAAGCATGCAAGCAAGCAAGTTTTCCTTGGCACGTTGCACTCCTTTTAGTAGAATTAAAAAGCCGCCCTATGCTTCTTTTATCGTAATCAGTCATTCTTGTTGTCTCTTTTCTAGGACGGAAAGCAACCTAATACAAAACACTCAGCCAGCGACTTACTACAACAGTTTACCAAGTAAGTGACTATAGAATCATTTTTCCTGTCACACAGAGCTGTGTTCTTCTCCTTCAGCAGTTTTCATCAGTGCTTCTGGTATGAGAATTTCCAGACTGTGACAGAGGGCGCACGCTTAAACATTGCAATTATGCAGAGTTTGCTTTAGTAAGCTCTGTGATTGGTCCAGACTAACGCACCATTCTCTTAACCAATCAGATACATACTAAATCGTTGTCGACGTGGTTGCCCACATTTTCCTGCGTTTTAGACATTGTGCTTGTTTTAAATTTGGATGCTCATTGGCTCCACGTGTTTATTTTCTTCTATATGATTGGCTGATCTTGTTATTATGTGTATGGTCTCAAAGACACTTTCTCTAATAACGCTCTATCTTAACTACTCCTGAATTGCTTTCGAAGGGATTTTTACACACTGGCTGAACTTCAGAAGATACCACCACCCCAAGGAGTCGATCCAGCGAAACTTGAAGTTTACTTAAGCGATAATGACTTTAAGGTGAGTTCAGAATGAATTTAATGAGAAAGTGCTCCAACTTACGTTTGTAAGCGAACCTCAACATGTCACTGTGTGTCGTAGTGTTCTATATTGATATGGCCACCTTTTTAGGCGAGAGATTGGTGCAACAATTCAGCATTTTCCTTTTCTTTTACTAGGAGATTTTTAAGATGGAGAAAGAGGCATTCAGTAAGCTCCCAGGCTGGAAACAAATCAATCTAAAGAAAGCTGTTGGTCTGTTCTAGAGCAATAAAAAAACTTCGAAACTACATGGTGGTAACTCAGACTATTTATATCCTTGTCGACAGGTGCGAGAAGATGGAAACAGTGGTTATTACTTATAAGATCTGATGCGCTAGATTGCCTCTGTCAACCTTTTATCTCCCAGAGTTGATTGACGTGTCACCTCTCCTTGTGATTCCACCGTGTTATTTTGCAAACATGTTATGAGAGCATACAAGCTAATCAACTGGGGGGTTAAGTCTTGATACAACACGAAATTCTCCCGTTTATTTTACAAGGAAATATTTGGCAGTCTGTTGGGAGAATTGCAAATATGATTCTGGGAGTTAAAAGGTCAGGGATACCTAACTTTGAGATATAGTGTGCCGGTGAGGAATGATAATAAGATTATTTTCTTACGCGTATTCCCGTAGCATTTCGTGTGCTGGGTGACACGAGGCAAGTTTAAAGGCAGATAGCGTTATGTGTAACCTAAAATGCTAAAAGATGTATGTTTTTTGTAATGATGAATTACCTTGTTAAGATAAAGCTATTGATATAATTTTTGATGTAATTTTCTTGGCGCAGCATCAGTAGGCTTAAAAATGAAATGTGATTTTTATTTAGTTCAAATTTTAGATGGTAATATGATAAACTTAGGCGTTAGAATGTGTTTCACGTCAGTTTGGTTTCAATCAAATTGGCTCACCTTGAATTGAAAAGAGTTATTACAATTTGAATTTCAAGAAATTGTTTTGAGTCAAATATTTTTATAGTCGAGAATTAGATTGCAAGTAATTTGCGGTACTTGATAATATTGATTTTAGAGGAAATATATTTTTGAAATTACACAGTTGATTTTAGAGAAGTGTTCTTCGGAAAAGGTTTTAAAATTCACAGCCATTATTCTTTTTCAGACGGAAAATCTCGACAATGTTTTCTTTGTACGTTCGTTTCTTCATATTTATTTCTTCGCATAATTTATTTCTGTATCTCATAGATTTCGTTAGAATTCTGCTGGGCGGATGTAATAGATTTTGCATTAATTGTTATCATATGTAAAGATTATGTTTGTTGCATATTTTTCCATGACTAAACTTGAGTGTTAAATACAACGATTACAGTTCCTTTCGGCTAATGATTTCGTCAGATGACCTGGGATAAGTTGGAGCGCTTTTCGATTGAGTGTCTTAAAACGGAAACCAAAATAATTACACTGGCCAATCAGAAGAGAGGAAAATACCTTGAAGAACCAATGAGAACTCAAAGTAAAACCGAGAAAACTGTCTAAAGCGCGGGAAAACGCGGGCGACCAAATTGTGATTGGTGTTTGTTTTGCATCGGATTGGTTGAGAGGGTGGCACGATATTTTTTTGACCAATCACAGAGCAAATTAGAACAAGACCAAAGCAATCCTGGATTTGTTTTGACACGTACTATTGAATCGAAGATTGCGCTATTCGTAAACATCGGAAGAAGTCAGAGCTGGTAATATTTCTTAGGCAATGGACATATCTCGACCCAGGCAACGAGCAATTTTTTTTCCCATATTCCTTTTCATGTCGAAAGCACTGGTTGCCAGGGTCGAATGAAGTTGGAATCATTTTGAGTTTCCTTCAATATGATTGGCTAAGTTTCTTAAGAGCAGTTTTCAATCGACTGTCGTAAAACCATAACCAGAATAATCACAACAGCCACAGCCAATCATAACAAAGGTTTTGTGTCATCGTCAGCAATTTAGGACTCAAAGTAAAAACTGAAAAGCTACCAAAAGCACGGGAAAACGACTAAGACACGTAGTGTTTCCTACAATTCTTGATGTTTTAATGGTTATAGCAAATTATTGTTAATCTCAGATTATTCAGTAAGCTTAATGTATTATAAGAATTGAGCTAAATTGTTTTCGTCAAATTGAGCAGGAGAAAGTTGTATATACAGAGAAAATTATGAAAGCTGAAATGAGATTAAATTTATGTTCTATGTTAATCCTGATGTGATGTACATAGTAATAAGAAGCTTTGCGTCAGGTTTTTATGCAGTTAAAAAAATATTACATGATTGAGTGTGTCCTGTGCTTCATACGTTTACCTTGCATTTCATTTGTTCATATGCCCTGTCTCCCGTGCATTTGTTCATTTTGCTCGTTCGCTCTTTTATTTGTTCGTTCGCCCGATCTTTGTTCGTTCAATCATCAGTTTGCTTTCTTTTTGTTTATTCACTCGTTTGCTTTCTCTTTACTCGTTCCCTTTTTTTTTTTTTTTTTACTCACTCGTTTCCTCTCTCTTTCTCTTACCCATTCATTCCTTTTCTCTTTCATTCTCTTTGTTTCAGTCACCCGTTCGCTGTCTCCGTTCTTCACTCACTTGTTCGTTTTCTCCTGCATTCTTTGGTTCCCTCGCTTTTTTGTTCAAATTTTTGCAGTCAATATTTCACTGTATCTCTCATCCTTTTTTTTTTTTCTCTTGGTTTGTTGACATGCCTTTTCGTTCGCCACTCCGTCGCTTTTTGGTTTCCTGACCCCCTCTCCCCCTTCCTTACCCCCTCCCCCTCAAGTTTTTTCTCTTCTTCTGTCCTTCTGTCCTCTCCTCTCTTCCTATTTGCTATTTTTTCGTGTTGAACTCGCAAAGGAACGTATCACATTTCAATCCTTCAAAAGGATGTTTTATTGAAAAAAATTTTTATAAAACTGTTTATTCGTCATACGTCGTCCATGGGACTACTTTTCGTGTTTTTCTATCTCATCTTTACTGTAGGAGGAAAGAAACCTTGCATTGGTGATCATTTTCACATTTGACTTAAAAGTTGACTCGCACAAACTACACACACTCCCACCCCCTAGTTCAATCGGTTTGCTTTTTCTCACCGATCAAGTGATCGAAATAAACCGGGACCCTGGGAACGTGATCGACTCATTTTTTTCTTGGGTGCAGTAATGACTGATCATTCTTGTCTTCAGGTCTTCAAATTTGTACTCTATGTTGTAAATGACGATGTCATTCACATAAAATAACTGAGTGACCGAGAATGAGTCGCACGAAACTACTCCACGTATAACACGAGACATGGACCGCTTTGTTCTCGTCCCCAGGTTTTCTTACGCTGTCACGGGCGCACACGTGACCGAAGGAAGCGATAACTCTGAGAGCCAGGATGAGCTGTAAAGGAAAGCAAAATTTTTCCAAGAGAAGTGTGCCGATCTTGTGCATGCGCGTGAAAATTTGAAAGGCTACAAGAATTAGAATTTCTGAGGCAACTTAACCGCACATCGTTGTGTGTTAGGGTTTAGAAATTTCTCTACAGGGTTCACTTACCCTTGACGTCTAATGCATTAGCAGGGAAGTGTTTCCCTCAGGACATGTTAGAGATATTTTCGGCGTAAGGACGTAAGTCTTTTGGTTTGGAGCATCTGGCATCGGAAATACATCCTTAGAGTTTTCTTTGGACACACTAAGGACGGAAAGGGAGGTAGTTTACTATGGGATTAGGCTAGAATTTGCATAGAGTTATACGAGTGCATTGGTACCGTCAAGAAAAAAAGGGAAATTTACCAGGAAATTCTGAGAAAAATTCACGCCACCGCATCAACCTCGTTTTCAGGATCCCTCTCTGATCCTTGGAACGAGGCTGAACTGCAATTCCACTTAATCGTTGTATGGGTTCAATGCCAGGCTGCCGTGATTGTCACTTAGCCCCAATTGCTCTGTGCCACGGAGGTATTGTTTTCTAGCCGTTTGGTCTTTTGGTTTTTATTTTCAAATGAACAAGCTTTTCCTCCGTGATAAATATCGCCAACACTTCGAGAGGCCCCGTACTGATAATTTTTCGATTTTCGGGGGCCGATTATTTGACATTTTGGCCTTAAGGTGGGCGCTTATTCAGGGGAGGGTGCTTATTCGCGGAAATACTTTATATTTTGTATAGCAACCCCACTTAGCCTAAACGGATAGCGAAAAAAACTACCTAGGGTTTGGATCTGGAAGAGGAAATTGTAAAAACTACCTTTGGTAGGGATTACTTGCCAACGCTGTACTTGAAAGATGAGCATCTTCCGCTGTCATGCCAAACTCCTTTCGAATCAGCGTGCGTTGTCTATGAAACCAAACACGTTTGTCACATAAAAGAAAAGTGTTTTGTTCCCAACAACCTCAAGCCGGAGACTGTCGAAAAAGCCTCTCGGTGGTTGCGGTAGTACTTCACCAAAGACTTGTCTACTTTCATTCTCCTCAAGATATTTATAAAACACGTGAAGAGCATATTACATCATTATTGAGTGATTGAATATCTCAAGTCTAAAAAGAACTTCAGCGGGTTACATTACTCTCAGAAAAAGGCCAATTGAGTCTCTCAAGCTGATATATAATAAATATTTTAATAACCTCGTTTTCTCACTCTGTATTGTAGGTTGCAGGACCTCGTTTTTTCCGCCCGGATTTATGGCCCGCGAACTTCGCATTGCGGGCATAACTTTGAGCGAAAAGAAAAAACTCGAATTCGGGTAGTAAGGGTTACCTTTTTTGGACAAGATGTATAAGCCACAACATGATGGCTCCTGAAACAATTGCGAGTAGCGACACCATTAGCGCCAAGGTAGAGATCTTCATTGGTGTTGGAGATGCAGGATGACCGACGAGACTTCCATGATTAACTTTTATAACAGGAGAGCTTGAAGTAGTAACCGCTGTAGATAACACGCAGATAACATAAGGGTAACGGTGGTCTGCGCAATATTGGTGACGCAAATCTCGTTAGCGAGCTAAGC